GCAGCAAGCCGGGCTGCCAGCTGTGCCGAGCTCCAAGGCATCCATGCCTGTGACAGCACCAGCATGGCCGCCATAGCCTGGGCGGAACCTGAGGGGGGCCAGGGAGGGGGCACTGCAGGACCACATCCAATTTTTAAGGAAAGAAAGGATCTGACCCGCCTTGTGTTAGCAGGAGCAGCAGCTTTCTGAAAAGATGCTGACCTGCAGCTAGATGTATTTTCCTTGGATTGCTCCAGTAAGCTTTGCTATCTATTTTACACTTTTATATCTATTTTGCAGAGAAGTTAGAAGCTCTCAACTTTGGTCAGAGCAGTTCTTGGCCAAGGTTTTGCCAATGTCTCTGTTCTCTTTCCTGTAGTGAGAATATAGAAATGGGCTGGGTCTCATCTCGTCTTCCTTGCTGGAGCTGGCTGCCATGGTGCTCTTCCCTAGAAAAGATGAAAACGCTTTAGGCTCCTTTGGGTTGGCCAGTACATGCCCATGAGGGTTCAGAGTAAGTTTGGAAGAAGCCCCTTGCCCTGGGCTAAAAAGAGGACATTCTCTTTTCTTTCCGAGAAGCAAAAAGCTTTTTTCCTTTAACTCAGCAGATATTGTTTTGGAAAATCAGAGCTGACTGCATGCTAATTCCATCTTCTTCTCCCAGTTTTGGAGTGATAAGACATGTGTGATGCTGCTTGACACTGTGATATTTATGAGACAAAGTAGAGGTCAAATTTGCTGAACATTTTCCAAATTCCACTGAGGTTTATCACAAAGAGCCCCATGCACAGACACAAGTGGCGTGACTGACAAGGGCTGGATTGTGGAGTCACTAGAAAGCTTAGTTTCCAGCCAGTGCTGATGGGCCAAATCATGTTCTTTGGGGCAAAACCTGCTGGAAAGCTACAATTATGCAGAGACTCCAGGGAGTTTTCACAGCAAAGTTTCTAACAAGAAACCCCATTGTGAGGAGCTGGGTTTTCATGCTTTAAGGAGCAGCACTGTCCTCTTTCAGCATTGTCCTGCCTTGTTCTTGTGAGAAACAGCTCAGAACTAAGCTGCTGTGGGGCAGGCAGGAGCCTGCTGCCCTCCATCCCCTGCACCCGGACACCTCCCCTGGATCTCTGCAGCCTCTTTGGAAGAGAGGTGCTGTGGGGCTTTCCTTGCCAGCTTACTGTCCCAAGAAGTGCAGGAAGAAAGGTTTTTTCCCACAGCAAGTGCTGACAGGACTAGCACAAACTTGTCCAAGGGAGATTTGGCAGAAATGCCCACCAGCTAGCTACAATTGAGGAACCGGCTCTGTTTCCCTCACCACATTCAGACACCAGCCTCCAGGCCTGCTGCTGACACTCAGTGTCTCTTCTCATATCGGAGGACTGACACTACAGACACTTCTTTGCACCCTGATGGGCTCACCTGCCAGTGCATTTCAGCCTCCCGGCCCCAAGCCAGAGGGGACGGATTTGGCATTGCTAAGCCTCAGTTATTTCAACGGAGACAGGCCAGGACTCGCCCTAATACTCAGAGCAGAAACTAGATCTGGAGCAGGAACGAAGCTGACACCTGCAAGGTGGGCTCAAAATCAAAAGCCTTCCGCCAGTATCAAAGTTTAGAACAAGGTTCAACAGCTCACGCTCCTCCACAGACACTTGGACAGAGGATTATATCCACATTCGCTCAGTCTTCCTTAAAATGCTCCCCAGAAGACATGGGCAAAAACTTTAATGATGTGTACCATCCAGGTAAGGAAAGGAAAGAGAGAAGATGAGAGGAAAGCACCGCATCTCTCAGCTGAGAGGCATATACCCCTATCTGGTAGCTGGAGAAACTATCAGAAGTTTGGGTTTGTTGGTTCACCAGACAAAACTGACTATTCAGTGAACTGAGTGAGAACTGTTTTTTCACTCTGTGTTGGTGTTGGTTGCTGAACAGTAAGGCATCGCATCATGTTCCGGGTTTTTAAGCACTGTGGAAAACCAAAGGAAAACACAACTTAAACTACATATGTGAACACAGGTCTGATGACTTTTCAGGTAGGCTACAAGCACCATATATTGCAGGAGAAAATGTGACCATATTCTTGTGAATGGCTAAATTTACAAGATGTGACTTCAGCCACCCTCCTGTCTGCTTATCTGCTCTTACTACTACAGGAACACCTTTCCCAAACATAAAGCCACCTTACAACCATACCATTTCTGCAGGTGTTTATTATGCAGCTGAACAGATAAAACTTGGAATTAATCTTTATCCCAAAAGGACATAAATGGTCTGATGAAGGGCTAAAAAGTTATTCGTATTTAGGTAGTTAACTGAAAGGTTTTCAGAGTTCTAAGAAAACAACTCCATGTAACTAAAATCCAATCTTAGAGCAGAAAAGAAAGTTCAAGGATTAAGACACTTGACTAAATTATCATTGTTGCTTTTTCACAACCTTCCTGTGTGACATTTGGAATATCACTTACCCACTTGCTGTATCCATTCCCAATGTATGAAATGGGGATAACAGTACTTCTTTACCTCCACTGTGGATCAAAAGGATAAAGACAATAATCATTTTCCAAGATGCTCAGACAATATGGTTAGTGAAGAAATACCCTGCACAGACTGACCTTGGGAAATACAGCAAATATGGCCTATGGTTTGTTCAAACACAAACTAATGGAGAAAGTGAAAACGGAAAAGGCTCACAGCTCTTCTGTGAAGCATAAGTGCCTCAATGCCACTTCTTCTAGCACATTTATCCAGCATGATCTTGAGAATCTTGTCTTCTTTGGGGAATCAGAGACGAACAACTACAGCTGATTTCCCCTCCCTGAGCTTCCCACCACACAAACTAGATAGGAGGCTCCTAGAAGAGAAATCCCTGTGTGCTGTGGGAAGCCATATCCTGGACTTTCGCTCTTGTGTCTGCCACAAACTGTAACAACCTCTGTTTCTTTCCTGCACCTAAACTGGAGACAATCATGAGATCAACACTGGGACATGCAATTGGCTTTTGCTACCTGACAGTGCTCCCATGATCCCTGAGGTTAGCCAAAGTCTCCTGTAGTAAACTGGAAAACTGCGGGAATACTTGCCTTTGTGGCACAGTAACTAAATATTACTCTGCTTGTTAGCAGCACCACTGTGCCAAGGATTCATTTCACTCTGCTCGTTACTTGCATCTGGAGAGAGTTTTGCTGAAGGATCAAATCTATGTGTTCGATCAGCTTCTGCCCATCAGATACAGGAATAGGCTGCGTGCTTATACTCTATCAGGTTTCTGAGGTGGAGTGGCAATTTGAAAGAATACGGAAAAAGTAAAAAAAACAAACAGTAACAAATCACAAATCTGAAGCAGCATTTGATTTTGAAGCATGGTCTCAAGTTTTCCAGACAAGCCAAAGCCGTAGAGTGAGCAACTTGTGCAACATTTCTGCTGGGTGCTCTGTATCACGTGGTGTTTAGACCATTAATCTTAACTCTGAACAGCATCGTCTCCGTTCCATGTATTCCTGATAATCTACACTTTTCACAGCACCAATTGCCCTGTGGTGTAGCTGAATTTTTAGCTTTTTTTCCCTCCATTGTATGCAGAGAAAGAACAGAAGGATGACGAAAGTCTGCATAAAGCACACTCCTACCATGCCTGCCTGACAGCAGTGTTATTAACTTACCCTTTCACAAAACCAACTCACATTCTCTCTTTACATACTCAGAAAAGGAAATCCACGTGTTTATATTCAAAATCCACATTAAAATAAACCACTGGTCAAATCTCGCCATCTTATAGTGTCTGAAAGGCCAAATATGCATTTGCAGAAAACCCTCTTCCTTCCCCATCCTGTTGTCCTCCGTAACAACCTTCCACCCCCCCTCCAGACTCTTCCAATATGACAGTGTCAGACGTTGCTGCTGTGACACAATCGTTACGATGTGCTGGTGCTCCCATTACACACACTTTTATTTTCTAAAGCTTACAACTGAGATTTGAAGTTCACTGCATGCTGCAGGTTGGCATGCAATGCCATTTCTGGGCAAACCAAAGAAAACATATGACCATGCAGGGAATTTTTTTCACCCCCAAATGGCCATTTCTCATAGATCTGCCTTCCAGCACCCTTCCCGCCATACCTGTGGTCACCTAAGCAGTGCCTAACTTTGCAAAGAGTCCCCTAGGGACCCTGCAAAAGCACTTCTGGTGATTCCAACACCACTAGACAGGCACTTCCAAGGCTTGGTAACATCCTCATTTTTCCCACGGAATCTGTGTATGAAGGTCTATATGTAGCAATGCTCAGTTGTTTACTCTGGTCTTAGCTTATGCAAACAGACTGATCAATAGCATTTTATATGTTTGCTGAACTCTTTGCAATAAAGGCCAGTTCCTTAAAAATAAAACAGAAGGAACGCTGTAGTATTGTATTATAGTATTCTAGCTCTCAAAAATCTTGCTGTTGTTTTAGGCTAACGGTCTAATGTCACAGATATTCCTTTTCTTAAAATGGAGGGAAAGATCAGAGGACCATTACCCTTAACCAGAAATTATAAACCTTTATTTTTTAAGAGGATGTAGAGTTTTACTCTTTGGCAGACAATGTTTTTTCATTCGATAAGAGGACCAAGGTTGGCATGCAGTGTGGTTTCCTCTGTTAGTCAAAAAACATACCTTTACATTAAATTTTCTTATGTCAAATATTGATAGGAGGAAGAATTCTATGACTGGAGTCCACAGATCTGTTCTCCAACATTTAAAATTTGTGGGTTTGTGTGTGTCTTTATGATACAATGTACCATTCTATATTGTAACATTCAATCAAATTCATCAAAGGTTCAATGATAAAGAATTGCAAAGAAACTGAAATGCTTCAAATCAGGTTCACGTACCTTCAGTTCTGCGGAGCTACTTCTCTACATTCAAGTAGAGAACATTTCAGATACTTGGACTTAGCCTTGCATCACCAACACAGTTTATGTGGAAGGCAAGTAAATTAAACAGAAACAAAAAAATGGCACCATTTGTCACTGTCACTTGAAACTTAAGACTAAAATTTATTTTTTCCAGATTGCTGCATTTTAACAATGGTTGATTCTCTCTTTATTGTGAAGGCACTGATGCTTCACTTACATTATAACATCACTCTGACTACTGGAGCTTTTATGCCTGGCCATCAAACACCACATCTAGTAAGAAGCAGTGCATAGGGACTAAGTTGTCTCTCCCCAGGATAAAGCTTCTTTCTACTTAGCAGCCACAGAACACAGACAAGGTATTTCAGGGTCATGGCTGCATATCCCAAGTAAGTAAAATAATTCTGACTTCACTTTCACACCTCCAGATAGTTTGAGAAATAGAATTAACCTGGGAGCAACCTGTCCCAGTCTCACTGCTAAAGTATGACTTTAGCGTACTTGATGATACACTGTGCCATCTCCAACACTGTTCTGCTGGGTGCAACTCCAATGTCTTACCCTCAGCTGCTGTACCCAGGCAGGAAAACTAGTGCAAGCAAGTGGACTATGGCGCCAGGAAGAAATGTGCAAGTTTTATTTTTAAACATCACTGGACTGAAAAATAGAGAGTCATATGGCTTACTGATATTTCAGAAGATAGTAGTGAATAAGTTAAAGAAGATTTCATCCCAAAACATATGTTGCTTTCATTTATAGCTAAGCTAATGTACACATATATTTTCTTATTTTTATAAGTGTCGAGCATCCACCTTTTTCCTCCCCACAAAGATCTACAAGTACATGCATGGCACTTCCTACAAAACTGTCACAGGCTAAAGGCTTGCAAACAATGGTTTTTTTTTTTGAATAAGAAATATTCATCAGATCAAAATATAATCATTTAAATCAACTTCTTCCTGAGCAACTTAGAATTTGGAATGTGCTGAAAAGTTTCAATAAATAAATCAAAGATTAACCAGTTTAAAATGTACCTGTTATAAAATATATTTAATGACAGAGAAATAGGCCACAGGACCAGGAATATTAGAAGCTATGTGCCAGATAAACTTAAGAAGTACCATTCAAGGAGAGGCCAGGTTGACTGTTACGAAAAATACAACAACATTAAAACCTAGCGAGTAAATCATTAAACAGGTTTTGTATTGAGAATATAAGTAGTGATGGTTGAAGATACCATTAAATAAACAGATAAAAACAGACTTTACTGTAAGGAGCAGTGAACTTGCAGGAAGGGTGAATGTGTTAAGTGACTATATTCTGTTAAAACATTGGCAAAAAAAGGATTCAAACAGAATTTCAGAAACATGAGAATACTAGTTTTCTTTCCAAAATATAACAACTCCACAGTGTGTACACTAATCATTACTCTTTCAATGTAATTTCATAGAAACCACTTAAAATATACAATGCAGCAGATTCATATTTTAGCTAATATGTTAGTTATTATCTGTGCCATTTTCAGCTTTCTTTACATGCTCCCCCACAGTAGTGCATTGCTACCACCAACCTGGGATGTTAACTGTGAGAAGAGAATCTTCTTCCTAATATTTTCTGTAAGTTAGCATCTTGTCTTAACACAACTACACTTCTTTATTTTCATTCTCTGTGTGTAGGTAAAGACTGACTGGTAAAGATGATGGACCATAATGTTTATTGGCTGTCAGCAGGCTCATGGAAGAGGAAACCCTTGGAAAGCACATTTGAGCTTATCCTGAGTTTATATGCTTCATCCATCACAAAATAACTTTTGCCTGTTATTGCAAGCTGAAGTATGATCTTGCCGATGGCAGCTGCAGAATCGGAAGCAAAAATTGCTCTGTAGATGTTTGAGAAAGGATATGAGATAGACAGAGGTGGGTTGTCCTCATCCTGGCAAGCAGCTGCATCTCTTCATCTCTGCTTCTTTCCTGTGCTCTAGGGACACGATTTTATTGCTATTATCCTCTGTTAGTCCAGCTTCCTCTGGCAACAACAGTGCACAAGAGGCCAAGGCCTCATCAAGACGCCAAACTCCCCTCTATTCTGCTATGGAGCAGATGGCCAAAGAGCTCTGCCCAGGGCTGCCTGCAGGTCTGTCACTTCTGCACCACCACTCCTGGCAGGCTGCCAAATAGGTGGCAAGCGCGCACGTCACAGAGAACCCCACCCTGGGGACACCCGCCTTAAAGACAACACATTGGAGCTATTTCTCTTTCCCCTCCCAGCTTCCACTGATCTCCTTTCCAGTGTTGGTAGATAATGCTTGTAGTGATTAACAAGGGCAACTTTCACAGTGACTCTCTTAACAACCTGTCATTGAATCAGCTTTGGTTTCACAGAGTATATCTTCCTTTCTTTGTTTTATGATTCTGAAATATTTCAACTGAAGAAGCTGTGTATGTTCATATTGTTAATTTTCCTTCTAGCCATGCTAAAAGCAGGAGTTTGGTGTTTGCACTGGTGGGGCAGCTGCATTCAGCTTCAGATGTGAACAACTAAATTCCGCAGTTGCAGAAATACAGGTCATGCTTAATAAGGGTTACAGATCATCTAAGTTTTTTAACAACTTTCTCTATATATCTTTGGATTTGTGACTCATAAGAAGAAACAAAAATATAAAAATACCATTCCTGAACATAAAAACCATATGCTGCACCTTCTCCTTTAGAGTCTAATAGAAATATACTCAACTGCTGAAACAAAACTCTACCATTTAGGTAACCCTGCCTGGCACTTTTGATTTGTTGTTGCCATTCACTAGCCTGGTAACTTTTCCCCCTCTAAGGGGAGAAACCCTAGAAGGGTTTACCAAAAATATCTGGTTCCTGTAACTTGCCTTACACCCAATAGTATTGATTTGCCAGAATAGCAGCCTCGTTCCTCCTGCACAGGGTAATTTAAGAGGCCATTACAAAGCCCCTTTCTGAGCCTAGTATCCTTGGATGTGCACAGATAAAGCAATGGCTCTGATCATACCACTAGGATACCAGTGTGCTTTGGATAGAAAGAGGCACTCTTCCCAAATGGCTTACTGGCTGTAGCTCACATAGCTGGTAGTTAATGCCACAGTGGTATGCAATGGAGACCTGTTTCTGGACAAAGAGAGAGACAAGAATCCATAAAATTTACTTTTCAAGACTGCCTAATCTATTCTTTTATATTTTTCAGCTTCCCAAAGGACTATTGTGTATTCCAAAAGTTATTTTGTGATAGACGGTAGGTACTTCCCTCTTGAACTATGCTATAGCAAGGATGCTATAAAGCCAACGCCATATAATGAATCAAACCTGCAAAACCAGGTATCTCCCAATGGCTCCAGAATGTGGGAATGGTCTCTTCTGTTCCATTTCAAATCTGCTGCGCATTAATTCAGTCCCTTAAGGAGTTACTTTTAATAATAATTAAAAAAATCTTAAGAAAGCTGGAGGGGTGACCAGAAGATAAAGGATAGCTCTTCCATCCATCACCTTTTATAGATATCCTCTAGCCATTTTTCATCATCTTCTTCTTCGTCATCTATCGGTTCCTCTGTTTCCAGGGGAGAAGGAATGAAGAACTCAGGTCTGGGACGCGGTTTCCTGATATGAGACTTCAGTCCAAACTTGCGCTTTAGCAGGTGGAACTGTTCTTTGACATAGTAATAAAACTCGTATTCATATCTCATGCGTTGGTAGAGGATCTGTATTGCTTCTGGAGAGGGGACGGTTTTTTTCACTGTCACAGTCAGATTGCCAAGTTTCCTATGTTCTGTAAAGAAAGAACAAAAAGCAACATGGTGGGTGCTGATTAATGAGATCAGATCTAAACTTTTTTATTAAAACAGTAAGGCATGGCTCTACTGCATTAGTGATACAAATGAGCTCAAGCTGTCTCATAATGAATTTACTTTTAACAAGATGTGAGAAAATATAGCTGTTTGAAGTCAGACTTTCATGTTTAAATATGGCTAGTTCATACATGGCATTTCGCATTGTTTGCAGTCACCGAAGATCTTAATCATCAATGGTTAACTGGAAACACAAATTAGGTCATATGAATTATGAGCATAAACATGTAGAGAAACCCACAATCTTGCCTAGCTTTGGAAATTTGATGTATGCCAAGTATATAAAGCACACCACTGACCTGAACTAATCAATTATTTCCTATGTGGCATATGGTGACCTGTCTCAATTGTGCTTTATTATAGTTAAAATCTAAACAGATATTTATCAACCTGAATCCATCTCAGGCTAGCACTGAAGCATTGCTGGCATCACCACATGACACATCAAGACTGATTTGTGCCTACTAAATTTCTGATCTTGTTATACCTGTTAATTGAGCTAGGCTCATCTTCCTGCCATGCCCTGAGACAGGAAGATTTCGCTATTTTTTTCATAACCTAACAACTTTTGCTTTGGTAAACTGAAATACAACACCCTTATTGTTGATAAAGAATTTGAGTTCCTAACAAAAGAAATAAATTTCCTCTTTGCCTCCTCTCTCAATAGATTAGTCTACCATTGTAGATGAATGTATTTAAACAAGATGTAAAGCAAACTCTCAAGGCAATAATTCTGCTGTTTCTGTCAGATGGCAACAGGCTGCCAGAGTATCCTAAGCATTTTATTTTTCTCCAAGACAGAGATGTAACTGAAAGTCAACTGTGAAGAACAGAGAAAGCTAGAAGTACTGACCTATAGTATCACTATATCCCCTCTATCAACTGCAACTTTCTTTAGAAAAAATGGAAATGATTTTTATAAAAACGAAGTACTAACTTATATAATTAGGCTTCCTGAAAGCTCAGTGCTCCAATCCAGTAAGCCTCAGATGTTACTCTAAGAGAACGTGATGTCCATGGAAATGATTGTACTAGCCTCAGAATACACCTGGGTCCAGACATGGCAAGATGAAAAGGCTTGCATGGAAGTAAGGAGAGACCAGTTAGACACTAGTAAAAAACCTTTTTCGTGGCAAGGATAGTTAAGTAGTGCAGTAGCACATACATGTTACAAAAGCTGGATCTCTGGAGGATTTTAAGAGGAGATTAACTGGTTCTGTCCTGAAGAAAGTCACTTGACTAGAGGACATATTAAGGCCATTTTCTACGACTCTAAAGCCAAGAGATTAATTTTAATCTTGTTGGTCCTTATTTCACTTCCTTGCTCTTTGCTACAACAGCAAGGTCTGCATGAGAACTGGGGTTTTTTTTTAGTGTTTTTTTTTTTTTTTTGTTTGGTTGGTTTTTGTTTGTTTGGGTTGGTTGGGGTTTTTTTGGTTATTTGTTTGTTTTTTAGGATAATGTCTTGGCTTCTGCTGCTCATTCTTTCCCTAGTATTTATATTTGTGATGCCTCAAATGCCACACAGAAATTCACATGTTCTACATGACTACATAGGTAAACTGTTGCAGTGAAGAAGAGCTGGATTTTAAAATGGAAGTTCTGCAAACTGGAAGTATTCAAAAGGGTCAGGCCACGAAGGATGGCAAAGAAAAAACTTACAAGGAGTAAGCTGACAACAAAGAACATTTCATGTTTCCAACTGGGTTCCAGTGGCAGCAACCACTCTCACTTCCAAAGGGAGTCCCTGAATCAAAATGTGATTTTACCATAGGCAGAGTTTTACTCAAATGGGCAGAACAAATTGAGGTCTTCTCAAGCCCCTGCCAGCAAAGCTTAACATACATTTAACAGCTCTACAGAGAAACATGATTCCATAACTGGTTACACATAAAGCTAAGGGATGCATTGATGGTTCCTATTAGGAAAAGTGAGTTGTTCTTGGGATGCCACAAGCAATATATTTATTTAAGAGAAATAATTAAGAATAACTTCTTAGGGAAGAGAGGACTTTTAAGCAAAGGCAAACTCTTTTATTCCAAGAGGTAATAAAAGATGAGTAGGTTCATCTAGCAAACACAACAGCAATGATTTTTAGGCAAGAAGTTGGTACAAGATTTTAAATCCTGAAAAGTATAACAGATGGGCAGAGTACAGCAGTGTGAAAATGAACTGCTTTCTTCAAATTTTAAAAGATTAATATTCATATAGCTTAGGGGTATCCACACCTATTAACAAATTTGATTTTCAGTCAATGGACACACATTTTCCTCTTTCAGAGTAAAGGAATTGGAGAAATACAACTGAGAACATTTTAATAATACTACATAAGACAAGCCAAGTGCTGCTGGGCTGGACATTCTCACATTCATTGGACTTCATTGCATCATACACATCTGGTGCAGAAAAAAAATTATATCTGAAACAGCTATTCTCCCTCTCAGTTTTGCTTACCAACTGCAGCAGAATAATTTGAAATGTAGGAAGAATATGATACAAAGACAGAATATGTTGACTAGCTTAGCCAGTGCAACAGTGTTCTAAATCACAAAAAAAATTATTTAAAGCACTAATTCTATTCTGCATTTGTACTTTTAATTCCTTCTCTAAAGGACGAATGGTTTTCATTAATTGGTAACAATTAAAACATGTGGCTGCGTAATTAAATGGAACTTTCACACCAAACTTTTTAGTTCTTTACACTGAAATTTCTGTCTCTACTTGTATACTGAAGTAAAAACAGCTTAGTAGACAGAGTTCTTTGTTCTTAAATTACAGTCATGTATGGTGAAATATGCTCTATGTAACCTGACTGTTTATCAATTTGTTTAGTTTTATTTCGATAGGAGTACAATGATTAAAATACATAAAACCAGAAAACCACAGAGGCAATTTTTAACATGCTATTTAGCTAAAAAAAAAGTATAGGGGAAGGATCATGAAATGCTTGCATTTGAAACAGACATGAGCATAGAAAGCACTACCTGTAGTTAGTGAATAGTGTGAAATATTTTGGTGAAAATATTTTGGTGAAAATATTTGTGTTTCCTAAGAGCTTATTCTCTTCTACACCACCTTTACCCATACACCAGAACAGACTAACAAATATCTCATATTTTTAAATTCTCAGTCAAGTTGTCCAAGTTGCCATTGATGGGTATGAGATGACCACACTCTAGGAAGGCCACTGTACTCAGTCTGTCCTTGAGTGAGAAAGAAACTGCTTCCTTATGATTACTGAGCACTTCAAGACATTCCTTTCTGGTGCTTAGCTCCTGCCAGCTTTGCAGTCTGGTTTTCTTGACAAACTCAGCAGCAAATATACACTACTAAATATTGCATTTATTAAGCTTAAGCCTTTATACTGCTTGCCAACTTCATTTTTATTTTGCGTAAGTTATTGCTGTTACAGAAAACTCCATTTAGCTCACTGGAAAAAGCTCTTTACTTATACAGTCCCTCCAGGACTCTATGTGGGAAAAGCCACTTTCACAGCTCCAGCCCCCTTCGGTGACTGCTTCTCCCAGGAGAGAGAGGCACTTGTGCTCAGCCCAGGAGCACTGCCAACAATGACAAGGTGAAAGGACTGTTTTCTTGGAGGGGCAGTCAGTGGGGGCAGGACCGGCCAAAGGGAACGTAGTGGTGTTGTGCCAGGAAGGGAGCAGCCCAGTGCTGCAAGCCAGCACAATACACTCCTCCTCTGAATGTGCTGTTACAATGGCATAAGAGGTTTCTGGATGTGTGCAATTCTTCTTTCCTCTATGTGCACACCTATGGCTACAGAAGTATACATATAACAGATAGAAACACCCATACTCTGGCAGGCTGCAGGAGCAATGTAAATTTTCTGGCTCCTGTTCATTTGCCCTGCAGCATCATGATCAGTAACTGCAGTGCATTAAGAGCTGTGAGGTGTGGGTTGTTGGATGGCTCCAGTTGGGACTGTGCCTGGCTGCAGGCTCAGCCTTTTGATAAAACAAGTGAACTCTACTTTTTTTTTTTTTGCACTTGAGTTTTATTTAGACTGGTTTCTAAGCTTAAATATCTTAAAACGTCTTTTAGTACAAATAGGAATGAAATCACAGAACTGCCCCTTGAAACCGTAAGCACCTCTCCTCATCATAGAAGAAAAATGGAAAATTAGGTAGGTTTGGCTTAACGCCAAAATACCAATCTGCATATGCTACATAAACCCAGCTGTCCCACCAAAGGATCCCCATTTTACGACCTTTGAGAGAGCTAAGCAGATGGAGGGCAACAAACTACACCATTTACTTCTTAGGGTTATTTTTTTAAAACTGTGTTTGCTTAGGCATTCTTTTAAATTACTAAAAAGAATGTACTATCCAGTAATGCAACCACCCCCGTGCAGCCTTGAATTAATTAACCTTGAATTAAGACTAAATTGGTATGCAGATAGGGATGAAGAAAATTAAATTTTTTTGGGTAACCAAGTGATGAACATTTACTATTACTTTCCACACACATTTTTTTTTTTAAAGTAAGAAATCGACATTACTTACTGCAGCAATCCAAACCATAGGGGAAAATGGGTTTTATACTTTGTGGCTCAAAAAACCTTGAACTGCCATATTTAGACAAAATAAACCTAAAGGCATTCTCCACTTCAGAAGAGAATTTCAGCATGACGTGCTCTCCAGTGTCCTGCTGTTTTGATGGGTGCAATGCAGAGGCTCCTCCTCACTGCTGCTCCTGGATGAAGCCTGGGGAAGCCCAGCACCCTTGGGGATCCAGTGCAGAGAGGTGAGCCTGGCTGGAGGCAGTGCAGGATGGCTGCAGGCCAGCAGAACTGTGGGCTTGCCTGCCTAGTGCTTGCAGAGGCAAAACTCCACGCCGAGCTTTGCTGCTCTTATGGCTGTGTGAACACGATTGCTGTCACAGATAGAGCAAACTCATTTCC